ATATCTATTCATGGCACCTCTGTTGTTCATGACGTTGTAAATGCCTGCTTACCCTCTTTTGTCCTTAAATATTCTGAAAAATGTTTATCAGTTTCATTGGCCTTTTCAAAACAATCAGGTAGTTAAATTTGTTTCTTTTTTCTTGGTTTTTGTGCATTTGTTTTGTTTTTTAGTTCATCTTTTATCTTCTCCCCACTTACTTTGGTTTTTACTTTATGTCGTAAGTACAAAGTTTCTTTGTTTTTCATTCTCTATTAACAAAATTAAGTCTATGAATTTCTTCTGAGAACAGCTTCTCAGCGTTGCTATTTTTTTAATTAAAAACAATGTTTTCTAGACAACCAAAAACAAACTACTGTGAGTCACATATGTGAAATACATAGACAGACTTAGACTGAAAATTAAGATGTAATTGTGAATGTGCATAGCAAAGACAGAGAATCAACCTCGGTGCCCACTGATAATGGGTTAGATAAAGAAAGTGTGATACCTATATACCATGGAATACTATAAAGCCATAAAAAAGAATAAAATTATGTCCTTTGCAGCAACATGGATGCAGCTGAAGGCCATTATCCTAAGTAAATTAAAACAACAGAAACAGAAAACCAAATACCACATGTTCTCATTTATACGTAGGAGCTAAACACTGGGTACACACAAACATAGAGATGGGAACAGTAGACACTGCAGACTCCAAAAGTGGGGAGAGAGGGGTAAGGCAGAGGTTGAAAAAATACCTACTGGGTGCTATGTTCACTATTTGGGTGATGGGTTCAATAGAAGCCCAAACCTTAGCATCACAAAATATATTCATGTAACAAACCTGCACATGTACCCCTGAATCTAAAATCAAATAAAAATAAAATTAAAAGAAGAAACAAATATAACTAAGATGCATTGAAATATTTAAAGTAATGTGCAGGTGAAGGATAAGTAGACGTTATGAGTGGAGGGTAAATATTACAATGAGAGCCAAGGTCATAAACAACCGTCATAATGACTGTCTATCTAAAACCCTTCCATACTGAGTCACAATGTATAGTCATATTGACACTACCAATACAGGGCATGTTTTCCAACTGGTCTATTGGAACACAAAATAAAACCTTTTTAGCGTAAATAAGAAGGTATTGGTTAAAAGTGTATTCAGTAGACAGAAATATGACTAAATGATCAAGACACTATCTTAGCTCAGACTGCCATAAAAAATTGTCGTGGGCCAGGCACTGTGGTTCCTGCCTGTCATCCCAGCACTTTGGGAGGCCAAGATGGGAGAAGCACTTGAATCCAGGAGTTCAAGACCAGCTTGACCAACATAGTGAAACCCTGACCCTACTAAAAAATAATTAGCCAGGTGGAGTGGCACATGCCTGCAGTCCCAGCAACTTGGGATACTGAGGCAGGAGAATTGCTTAAGCCTGCCCCAGGAGGTCAAGACTTCAATAAGCCATGATCATTCCACTGCACTCCAGCCTGGCTGACAGAGTGAGACCCTGTCTCAAAAAAAAAAAAAAAAAAAAAAAAAAAGTCACCGATTGGGTGGCTTAAACAGCAAGAATTCATTTCTCACAATTCTGGAGTCTGGAAGTCCAAGATCAAGTCTGAGCTAGCAGCCTCAAGTTATGGATTATGCTCATAGATCCTTGGGTTGCAGACAGTCACCCTCTGTGTCCTTATATGGGCTTCCCTCAGTGTGTGCTGATGGAAACAGAGAAAAGAAGCAATATCTCTGGTGTCTCTTCTTGTAAAGGCACTAATCTCGTCATGTGAGCACCACCCCCATGACTTCATCTACACCTACCTACCTTCCAAAGGCCCCATCTTCCAACACTATCACATCAGGCATTAGGACTTCAACATATATAGTTCAGAGAATGAGGGGACACAGTCAATCCATAGGAGGCACCAAATTAGCAAACAATGCTACGGAATGGGATGGCTTAAACAACAAGAAACCTTATTAGCTTTCTCATTCTTTGCTTTCACTAAATTTTATCCATTATATTCATCAAAAGATGAAATTCAGAAATACCCATGTTGGTTGAAGTGCAAAATAAACCCTAGTGTGATGTTCCTGAATGTTGAGGACCTTCACATGGTTAATCAGAGATAAACTGTCTTTAAGCTCTTTTTTCAATTCAGTTCATATTACCACCTACAGGCTTTTATGAAGTCTTCCCGGCAGCTTAGCAGAACAGAAGCATGGAGAAAAATTGTGTTTTGTATAGTCTGCCCCCACAAGCTTTAGAGTTACAGAAATTCTCTTCACAGCAGGGAACTATAAAAGCCTTTTCAGAGGTATGTTTGTACTGCACTTCCAAAAAAGAAAAAGACCAACTCCTAGCCTGGTGGTGCCTCTCCTGACTCTGTGAGGGGAAAGGCGCCTCCTTTGTCTCTGATCAGAGCATTTAAGCCTGAAGGGCTGGCCACAGAATTCTATGCATCTTTTAGAACTTTGATGTTAAACTGAATTCATACAAAAAAAAATGTCTCCATCAGTCTAGGGTTGCTGATGACACAGAAGAATACTGATTAAGGGTGATATATCCAGAGTTCTCCTGGTTCAACTCCTTCTGCTTACTGGAAGGCTCTATTCCAATCTTTCTAAATCTTAATTACCTTCTGTGTTGATAAAGACACTGGTCAAATAAAAAAAAAATGACAGATTTTCCTAAAACCAAGTCTGAAGCATTAGTAGGTGATAGTGTTTATAGTATATAAACATTGTCTTTTGAAATTTTGAATTTCTAATCAAAGCTTTCACTCTGGTTGTCTAGTGGTGCTTGAAGCAGGAGGGTTGGCAGTGATGCTCCAATCAGGTCTTGGTGCCATCACAGCACTAGGTTTGATTATTATGCTAGATGACCTGTCACATTGAGTTTTACTTTAAATATTCTGGATTTTGCAATCACATAGTGAATCATCCAGGTAAACGTAAACCAGTCTGCTCAGATTCAAATCTTGATCCTCCTTATTTATTCAGCAAGTTAACCTCACTGTGTGTCAGTTTGCTCAGCTGTAAAATGGGGACAAAATAGGACCCACTTCATAGGGTTGCTCTGACCTAGCTGGTCTGACATAGCACCTAGACCAGAGCCTACCTACTTTATACTAAACACTGGGTAAGCATTAGCTATCATTATTTCATCATACTAAACATACCAAATGTCTCCTTTAATAGTACAACACATCTAAATTCTAGTGATGCCTAGATTTTTTAAAAAAGAAATTGTAGAATTCAGTATATTTATTAAATCCTGTATCGATCCTCCTAACATATTTTGATAACTTATACACATTTAAAGTTTTTTCAATTAAAACTCAATTTACACACTTAATTTATTTATTTGATATCTGATTTTCTGCTGGCAAGTATTGTCAAAAAATAATTACAGTTGTTTTTATGTACCACGGCTTAGGCATTATGTATATGTATGTATTTCTAAAGTATAATAAAATAAAATTGTCCCTAATCCGCCCTCCAACTCTAAGATCTGAGTAGCCCCTTTTAAAAGTCTCAATGTCAAATCTTACAGAATTTTTCTGTGTTTATACAGATATAGTTATACACACTATATAGATAGATACATATATGTATATATTTACAATAGAGGGTGCTGTACATACTAGTTTGCAACTTGTTCTTTTCTTTTAATGATATATAGTGGATCTCATTTTGTGTCAAGATACATAAATCCATCTCATTTTTAAAAACTCTCTTTTTTAATATATCATAGACACTTCTTCATGTCAATATCAATAAGTTTACTTTATCCTTTGACCAGACACATTCAATTTCACTGGATGGGTTATGATTGTACACTAATGGACATTTTGGTCATTTAATTTTTTTCATTTGAAAGTAATAATGAAGTAAATGCACTTACAGTTGTGTCTTTGCACACTTCCGTTATTTCCTTAGGAACTGCTAGGTTTTGAGCATACGTGATTTTTAGTGTGAGATTTTTACTATAATTTTTGTGTACCTTTCATATAACACAAACAAAATATTCACCTGGGCATGTAGTTAGCCATCTCTTCTCTAAAAAGAAATGAATTCCATCTTCCTTTGCTCACTGACATGCATTTTCCTGGAAAGAAAAAAAATGCTGCCTTTCCTTGTCTCATTTTCAGTTAAGACTGAAAGATTTGAGCAAGGCAACAAAAACTTTTTCTTTTGAAGATTAAAAACTACATGATATGGCCAGGTACGGTGGCTCACACCTGTAAACCCAGCACTTTGGGAGGCCGAGGCAGGCGGATCACCTGGGGTCGAAAGTTCAAGACCAGCCTGGTCAACATGGTGAAACCCCATCTCTACTAAAAATACAAAAATTAGCCAGGAGCAGTGGCAGGCACCTGTAATCCCAGCTACTTGGGAGGCTGAGGCAGGAGAATCACTTGAACCCGGGAGGCAGAGGTTGCAGTGAGCCAAGATCACACCACTGTACTCCAGCCTGGGCAACAGAGTGAGACCCTGTCTCAAAAAAAAAATAAATAAAATTATATATATGAGTGTGTGTGTGTGTGTGTGTGTATCCCAACAGCCAGTACCTGCTTCCTTCAAACCACCAGAAATGTGGTGTATGTGTGTGTGTATACAGAAATGTGCGTATACACACACACACACACACATATATATATATAACTACGTGATAACTACGTGATAAAGCACATCAACTCATGTATGTAAGGGTGGCAATGAAAATAGTAGTTTTGGTTCAGAAAGAATAGTTATTGATGAGCTATAGGGAGAGGGACAATTTGGTCTTATTGCTCAGCTTGTCGTGAAGACAGCCAAGTTGTGAGGTTAAATTGAAGTTGGTAAATACACAATTATTCAGCTTGTGTCTTGGTAATAAATGTGTCTCTAGGCAGTGAACCTGCCAGTCCTCAGAGTACCACTTTGCTGATTAAGGAGATAAAAAGAAGATGTTGTGGAAAGGGTCATTTCAAGAGTAATGAATCCTTATTCTGTCACTGTACTTTGCCGACAGGGAGGACAATTTTATCGGAGATGAGGCATCCTGGAATATCCATGTGGCAACATGGAGTAGGGCAAATCAGAGATGACTATTTCTAGGCCATGGAAAAACCAGCAGGATCCATGATGGCTGAGAAATGACAATATTGGTGAATTAAGTACATCTCAGGGAGAAGCCTTATTAAATTAGCCTAATACCTTATTGCATGATCAATAACAATGTATTTATTTTGTACTATGGCCTTGAGTGACTTTTCATTAGGAATTTAAATGACCTTAGAAAGCCACTGAGTATAAATTTAGAATACTTTTAGGAGATATTAGCCTGGTCTCAGAGCAAAAGATGAGTGAAAATGCAGCTCATTATTTAAGTCAGAAAGAGAATGTCAAAAAACATTTTGCCATGGCATTGAGGAAGGTAGTTCAAGTGATGTACCCAATCATATAAGATTGCTTTGTTTGTTAGTTTTCTGAGTACAGAATAAAATAGATCAAAAAAGTGTTTGTAGTTCCAATAGATATTAACCCAGATAACTGTTGAGATTGAGAAGGTTGTAAGACTGGCAATGACAGATGTTGCTTTAAAGTAAATGCATCTGTGAATTGCAGGATTCTGTTAATGCTCCCCCATGCACTCTCAGGTTTCTTTACCATTGCCATGCTCACAGACATTAGGTGGATTTTCACTCCCAAAAGCCAGTACCTGCTGCCCTCAAACCACCAGGAATATTTTAGGGTACCCTGAATGTACATTCTGGCAGTACCACTGAACCAATGGCTGATGTGTAAACCAGGGTTTCTCAACCTTGGCACTATTGACTCTTGGGGTCAGATAATCATTTACTGGGGAAGGAGGAGACTATCCAGTGTGTTGTAGGATTTGTAGAATTTTCAGCAGCATCCTTGACCTCTCCCACTGGGGTATCACACTTCCCCTAGTGTGACAACCTACAATGTTTCCACACATCATCAAATGTTCCCTGGACAGTGAATCCTGCCAGGTTAAGAACCATGGCTGTAGACATATGAATACTGCAGACCCATTGTCCCTAACTGGACCATTCTGAGGTATGTCCAACGTTGGCTTCCCAGGGCTCCTGAAGGATTCCTTCCGTAGAACTTGGCTTGCTACTCTCGCTCAACCTCCTTCCTTTCTGCTCACTTCCCAATCCCCCGAATAGTTCTCCCTGGGACCATTTCCCAGTAGTCACACAAATCCTCATCTCCGTATCTGCTCCTGAGGATGCCAACCTCAATAGTAACACAGACTCTATAACAACTGAGATGCTAGCTAAATGGTCACAGAGTTAGATGACACCATTCTGAATGCCTTGGCTGACCCTTTTACTGTTCTCCACCTTCTACCTTCACTTGAAGTAAAGGGGAAAAAAGTGTCAGTTCCTACTTGGTGTACTTAATAAAAGGGAGATGGTGGTAAATACTTGTAATTCTGAAATTCTGATACATTTTCTCTGGGCATTGACATCCTGATGTGCTCGCTTTCTCTCTATGTCTCTCTCTCTCTCTCTCTCTCCCTCTCTCTCTCTCTCTCTCTCTCTCTCTCTCCAATTTACAAGCATGTGAGCAAGCTCCCTTTTGTTTTCATCACTTCATTACTTCAGAGGAATAAGGGGAGTTTTCTCTGGCCTCTGTGGTCTCCCACCTACCATCTTGAACTTTACTCTCCAGTCATTCACCAGCCTGATCTTCGCCCCATCTTCTTTGGAGTGCTATAGGCACTCTCTGGTCCTTTCCTCTTAGCTTACCTACTTTTACTCTCAACGCCTTATCTAATATTCATTAACTCTCTGCGTAACATGTCTTAAAACCTTTACTTGTTATCATTTCTATTACTTTTTCCAACCAGAATAAGAGAAAGAAAATAGAGGAAGCCTGAGAAAGTTTGGATAATCTTAGGTAGTTGGGGTTATCAAACTTATTCATATTTTAGGAGAAGAAAATGAATCAGAAGCTGAACCAGGCCAATGTCAATCTGTGACTGTCCTAAAGGAGGAAGCAGCAGTGTGAGCACACCTTTCCTCCGGCTGCAGCTTTTCCCTAAATCCCTGTTTACTACTCAAGACTTTAGAGTGATATCTTGAACACCACTAATCTGGTGTCTTTTATTTTACAAGTGGCCTTGGGACATATCTCAAAATGAAGATAAAAATGATCCCTTTCTGATGACCCTGCTAAGCCAACGAATAAAATCAATAAAAATGCAATTAATTTGGATTCATTTGGACTGAAGAATCAAAAGACAAAATAAGGAAGCATATTTGCCAAGATATGTGATGTAGCTTTTGGCCAGAAATCCTGCTTCCGAAAGCATCCACCTCAGATCTAGCAGCAGTAATAAACTCCCTGTGTCTTATACATCCATAAATCCTTGTACCAACCAAGATTTCAATGGTCTCTTCTCTCCAACCCACACATAAAGCACTCCAGACACTAATTTAGAATATTAATTAATCTCAGAAAATTTTATTGAGACTCAGCAGATATTATTTCACAACCTGTATAACTTTAAAAAAAAAAAAAAAAACGGACTATCTACTTCAAAGAGATTCCTCTTACTGTGACTTTTTCCAAAGAAAATGTAATAAATTGCCCCCTTTCAAAAATAATGATGCATTAGGAGGAGGTAACTTAGACTAGAAGAAACATCACAACTACATATGACCAAATATAAATGGGAATTTGTCAAGTATTTTTTGAAGATAGATAAAATATATGAACATTGATTTTTAAGGGCAAGTGTATATTACATTGTAAAACTATCAATGATGCTTTAAAAGGACTACAGTGCAACTTAATATTCTACAGTGGAAGTACTAGCAACTAGTTGTTGACTTCAAAGGGGATTGCATGATTCTAAGAAGAGAGCATTGAGGGAGCGGATGGATGCAGTGACAGGTGGAGCTGATGAAACAGAAGGAAAGATACGGAGCCCAAGAAAGAAGCAATTAAGGCCGGGCGCGGTGGCTCAAGCCTGTAATCCCTGCACTTTGGGAGGCCGAGACGGGCGGATCATGAGGTCAGGAAATCAAGACCATCCTGGTTAACACGGTGAAACCCCGTCTCTACTAAAAAAAATACAAAAAACTAGCCGGGCGCGGTGGCGGACGCCTGTAGTCCTGGCTACTCGGGAGGCTGAGCCAGGAGAATGGCGTGAACCCGGGAGGCGGAGCTTGCAG